TTTTTTGTTTTTTTGAGACAGGGTTTCTCTGTGTAGCTTTGCACCTTTCCTGGAACTCACTCTGTAGCACAGGCTGGCCTCGAACTCACTGAGATCCGCCTGCCTCTGCCTCCCCGAGTGCTGGGATTAAAGGTGTGCACCACCATTACCCGGCATCTTTTGAAAATTTCAAAGTTGCTGTTAGGCATGGTCATGGTTCCTTGCAGATTTTTTTTTTTTTTTTTTGCCTCCTCTGTGGTTTGGAGCAATCACAGTCTGATAAATGTCTCTTGGAACCACGAATGTTCTTCCCTAGAAGAGAATATCTTCACAGCAATTTCTCCCCACCATTTGTCTTGACAAACTTTTCCAAACTGACCTTTGCCGATGTTTTTTTTGGAACACAGTGGTCCTGGCAAATCTTCTCTGAACCAGCAGCAGTAAACCCTTCATCCCAGGTAGCAGCATCACCACAGTCACCAAAAGGATGAGAAGCAGCCAGCAACTTGGAGCAGCAGCCGCTGCCTCCGTGGTCCCACCACTGTTTGTGGCAAAAAAAAAAAAAAAAAAAAAGCCCCGTCTGAAGCTTCTCCTTAGCAAGCCTCCTAGGCTGGCCTCGAACTCGGGATCCTACTGCCTCTGCCTCCTTCAGTAAATCCAACCAATGTGCCAGCACAAGAGGCCGAGTGTAGCTCAGGCCTGAGCTGGGGCCCACAAGGCCACAGGCAAGAGGCTTTTTTGTGAATCTGTACCATGAACGTTGGGCGCCAGATGTAGACGAATCTTAAATAGTCTTATTAATAAAACAAACCTGGAGCCAGGTATTGGGGTGAATGCTGGAAGACCAGAGAAGCAGAAGAAGCTACAGCTACCTCACCTTGCCAATTCCTCAGCTGATCCTGTTTCCTCGGACTGGATGCCTCTGAGTCATCATCCAAATGAATCTCAGCTGAACTGTGCTGCTCAAAAGCCTAAAAGCTTAACCAGGCTCTAGTTCCTGGTTTTCTCGCCTTTTATACCCTTCTGCTTCCTGCCATCATTTCCTGGGATTAAAGGCATGTGTCACCATGTCTGGCTGTTTCTAGTGTGACACTGAACTCACAGAGATCCAGATGGATCTCTGCCTCCCAAGTGATAGGATTAAAGGCATGTGTGTGTGCCACCATTTTCTGGCCTCTATATCTAGTGGCTGTTCTGTTCTCTGACCCCAGATAAGTTTATTAGGGTGCACAATATATAAGGGAACACAATATCACCACACAAATACATGAAACAGCCTAGGAAAAACTTGGGTATGAAAGTTTCTTAAAGAGCTGGGTGGTGGTGGCACACACCTGTAATCCCAGCACTTAGGCAGAGGCAGGGGGTATCCCTGTGAGTTCTGGGCCAGCCTGGTCTACAAAGAGTTCTAGGACAGCCAGAGCTTTTACAGAGAAACCTTGTCTCCAAAAACAAAAAACGAATAAAAAGATTCTTAAAGTGTTTATTTACACTGTCATCGTTTTATGTGACTGAAAAACCTCAAATTCTAAATAAAGGGTGGTGTTCTTAACTAGTTCTACTGATAAAACTAGACTGTTCTAACGTGCTGCCACACAGAGGTCTGTGCGGAGAATAAATCAGCATGATGAATGACCCAGTCTGAGGCCATGATGTCTCCAGCTTTTATTTTGCCAGGCTGCATAGTCAGACTTCCCATAAAACCTCCCTTTAGTTCCTGGCTGCTTTCCTCAACTCTGTTGCCCAACCCCAACTGTTCGCTAGAGCCAAGATCATAATGCGCTGTGCCATGGAGCAAAGCTGTGGCTTCATGCTGCCCTTACCAACCAAGCTCCCTCCATCCCTACACAGCTTTTAGGAAAAAATCCTTGTAAAAGAATGGGAATGGGGAAAATGCCTAAATCAATAGTGACAGGGGGGAAAAGAAAAAAAAAAAAAAAAAAAAAAAGAGGAAAGAGAGAAAGCCCAGCTTCTGGAAGCTTGTTTTGGAAGACAGAGCCAAATGTGTGGGGTGCCTCAAGCCACTCACAACTGTCCTTCACACTGCTGTCACCCAGCCTTTTGACAACTGTCACGTGTGTCATGCGCATCCTGTTGGTACTGGAACAGTGGAAAGGAGACAGATACCAGAGGCTCCCAAGGTTCAGCAACCCCGTTCAGCACCACCCTGTGAGTACTATCAATCTATCAATCATTCTGTTTCCTTCCCCGCAATACTGATGCAAGCACAATACCAGTTAGAAAGATGAAGACCCAGGGCTGGTGGGGATGGGGAGCCACCAACTCCTGTAAAAAGGAGATTAAAATAATTCAAGATGAACAGATTATTAGGCTTCATTTCCATTTTATTATATTACAATGCACAGTCACAGGCTTCCTTGGGCCAGTCCCCTTTTAAGCGGATCCTTTTACTGACAGCCTTTAAGTACACTAAGGACAAAATACTGCCATCTTTCTGAAAAAGGGCAGGAGAAATCCATAGATGCAACCAAACTCCAGTCAGAGCTCTTCACTAGAGAACACACTAAGCTATTAGGTCATCAGGAACACAATAAGCTATTAAGTCATCAGGAACATAGTAAGCTATTAGGTCATCAGGAATACAGTAAGCTATAAGAAATGACTTAGATGCTGCAAGAATTTTAGCACTTACCTAAAATAAGTTATTAGCCGGTTGAATTCTAGAACAATTTATAAAATGGCCCATGCTTGCTATCTTATTAGTGCTAGGTTACCACACTGGCATGAGTTCCTTTAGTGGCACACTAAACTAGAAACTAGGAAAGCCTACTTCTTCTACAGAAAAAAAGGCCTTACAAACTCCAAGGAATTACACTTCCTAGGTGGTAAACACACACAAACTAAGAATCCCTTGAAGAGTTTACAAAGTTATTACTAAAAACTTACTCTTTTAGACTCCACTGAATTCTAAGGTGTATTAGTAAAGAGACGCACTGTGGGAACTTTCTTTTCTCTTTTTCAAAGGCAGGTCTCATAGAGTCCATGCTGGCCTCCAACTTGCTGTGTAGCTGAGGAAGACTTGTGATCCTCCCACCTCCGCCACAATGTGTGTGAAGGTCAGAGAGCAATCTGCAGGGGTCAGTTTTCTCCTGCTACCATGTGGGTCTTGGGGTTGAAACTCAGGTCCTCAGGCTTGGCAGCAAGGCCCCCCACACACACCAAAAAGCAAAAACCAATGGCAGTTAGTAGGGGAATGAGGTTTAAGTGTTCACACGGACAGTGGTTATGAATAATTTTCCCCAGATGTAGTTCTGTCCAGTTCCTGGCTGGGAAAGAGCAGCAACCCTTAATAGAAACTGAACCCTGACATAAGCTTATTGCCACCAAAGTCTGACAGGCTGGTTTGGCTTTTCGTAAGATCAAATCTATAGGAAAAATTTATTTCACAAGATCACACTAGCCTAGAACTTCTTGAAGTGTCTTCACTGCCCTTTATGTTATATACAGGCATAATTTCTATTAAGGAAAAATAAAATGCTTCAGAAATTGTATATACTAAATATCAGACATTTCTTATCTCTCCTATACAAATACATAAATTCAACTCTTTTTAAAGGCTCAGACTTCATTAAAATCATTATTTCCATCTCTACCCACTTAATGATGCTCTATTAAAATTGGCTGTTTATCCGGTATCCTAAAATTTCGTCTCCTAAAAGTGTAAAGCACAAGAACAACATTTGGGCACATTTTCTATACAAATTGGGTAGCAATTTATGATGCTTATTTATTAACTATCTCATCAACTAGTCTGAAAACTACTGGGGTGGAAATGCCTTTTTCTATTCCAAAACCTAGTGTAGAGATCTGCATGTAATAAGGTGTAGTGACCCTCTCAAGGATCCCGACTAGTGGGTACGTTTAAGAATTCATTTGCTTTCAAGCCTGAAAGAACATTTGACCTTTACACATACTTCAAATGACCATGCATCCTGGACACCAGAGTTCACTGCCAGGATTCCAAAGCAACAACCAGCAGCAATCCGAAGCTGGTTAAGATTTTCAAGTCTGTGGGGCCACAGACTGCTAGTTTCCTGTGACTGAGACCTCAGCCAAGAAGACACTTGTGAGATGATGTCTGCACAACTTCTAAGTTAGTGATATAAGACTTGAAGAGTAGGGAAGGGTTTCTCACACACTAAGAATCATGTGCCTTTCACTTGGGAGGAAGGCTCTGCTGGCTGGGGATGATGCTAGTCCCACCCATCAGAAGCTGCAATCTTCCCTCAAGTTCTAGAATCTTCATAAAAACTAAAGTCTTCTTAGAAAATATAAAACCATATTTAAATAAGATCCTCAAAGTGCCTTTGCCTTCACAGACACACACTTTACAGTTATTAATGAGTCTATTTACAGATGAAACATAGGTTTTGGTATGTTTATTCTCAATCACATTCTTCCCCAATACTAAATTCAGCCACTCACTCACTGGGCATTTAATACAGAGCTACTATACAGCAAGCCCTGGGCTGGGAAGGCAGTGAGAAACAATGAATGCACAGTCTCTGTCCTGAAGAAATGCAGCCATGTACTGTGGACTAATGCTCTGCATATTTACCTCCTAGGATTCACAACACGCAGCAGCAGAAGAGACAGTTTCCCTCATGGCTGTGGGCAGCATCTGGACCTGGCAGAGCTCTGTTCTTGTAGATTCAAACGCCACCAACGCTTCTTTTGCTTTTAAGTTTATTTGGCAAAGCAGCGCTGCGGAAACTGTGCAGACTAGCACAGTTCACACAGTGTTAGGCGCAGATACAGAATCAGCAGCAAACTAGAAACAGAAAACGATATTGAGCTACAACCTCCTATCATTTTTAGAGAGGGGAAAATTACATCCGAGATGTCCAATCTGAACAGCTGAGTGTTTACAGGACACCACCTGCCGTCGTCTTAAGTTTCAGTATTTACAAACACCTAGTTTTAAGGTAACAGCAGCTGATTGTATCTACAACATGCTATCCTATGACACCACATCAAAAGCTTTAAAAAGAAAGCTCATCTCTATTTTCTTAGTAGCATCTAACAGACATTGGCTACCAAGAAACCTAAACTTGTGAATGGTGGTGTTATCTGATGCACAAAAGGAATCTGATAAATTAATATTGGAACAGAATTAAGTGTTCAAGAAAAGCAAAGCCACTCCTCAAAACTAATTTACAAACTAAGCTCTCCACGTGGAGAACCCTTTCTTTTAATATTTTTAAAGTAAAATGTGGGCGTGTTAAAACAACACACAAAGGTATACTTTGCTGTCCTCTCTGCAACCTTGGCTCTGAGCCTCTCTGAATTAGGAAATCCTACAAAACCACACATTTTCATGCTGAAAATAAGAGTGTAACGAAGTCCAAAACAAGCTGTGATGCTGTTGGTTTTCAAATGCTTTAAGGACCGAGATGAGCAATCCACTGCAATGTTATAGACTGGTCAAGCTCATGTTGCTTTTACAGTTCATCCCTGGAAAGAAAAGAGAAAAATGCAATTAGGAGTTACATGCTGTGAATTGGCACTCAATTGAGACACAACACTGAAGTCAGTAAAATATGCAGATTCCAAGCAATACAATAGGAGAAACGAAAGCACATATAACTCTAAGCCAAAGCAAAACTGGACATCAGCCACCCCAAGCATCTTCCATGCTACTCCACAGCACAGCAGGAAACCACAAAGCCCAAAGCGATTTTAAACCTAAAGGTAAACCTTCTTCCTTTGAGGCAAAAAATGCAGAAAAATTATGACTTCTGCTGAGGATCACCTTGCTGATCTACTTATTTCTTCTAAGATGATAGTTTACACATTTAGAATTCACATTCTTTTTTTAATAGTTCTATTCACAAAACTGGGTGAAGAGTCTGTTGCCCTGGCAGTCCCGGTCAACTGCAGCCTGAACCCTCTGGGGAAAAGCTGTCTATAGGCATCTTCTACCTGTCAGCTGATTTCATTAAGGCAGCCTTATCAGCTCCAAAGAAACCATTCCCTCAGCCACGTGCAGCACTGGACCCGCAACTGCCAGTGAGAGGAGGGAGGAATAAAAATGCAGTCTAAAGGAAACGACCCATTTCAGTCTGCCCCAATGAAATCAGCAAGTGTGGAAAAATGAAGAGCATCAGATAGCCTGAGAGACTCATCTGAAGGTAACTTAAGTGACAAAAACATCACTAAACACTCAGTACGATCTTGCAATTAATTCACAAGTGATTCAGAGGAAAGCACGACATACTCATGTGTAGGAAGTGTGAGCAGCAAACAGGGAGATGGTAACTGGTGATGGGCAGAAGTGTTGTAGAATAGTATTTGAAGGTGTGTTACTTTTGTTTATGGTGCATTTGTTTAATTCTGTGAAGCTGTGTTACTGTGCCTGTCTAAAACCCCTAACTGGTCTAATAAAGAACTGAACAGCCAATAGCAAGGCAGGAGAGAGAGAGAAAGGCAGGCAGAGAGAATATATAGGAGAAATCTGGGAGGAAAAAGAGAAGAGATGTAGAAGTGAAGATCTAGGAGCCAGAGAAGGAGAAAGACTCCAGGGACCAGCCACCCAGCTACACAGCAGGTCACAGAATAAGAGTAAGATTTACAGAAGTGAGAGAATGGGAAAAACCCAGAGGCAAAAGGCAGACAGGATAATTTATGAAAAGCTAACTAAAAACCAAACCAAGCTAAGGCCTGGCATTCATAATTAAGAATAAGACTCCGTGTGTGAATTTATTTGGGAGCTGGGTGGCGAGCTCCCCAAAAGAGTAGAAGAATACCCAACAACACTTTGGCATTCTAATGTGGGCCATGTTTCCATGTAGAGCCTGAGAAAGCTGAACAACAATAAAAAAGGGATTCGGCTCCTTTAAGAGTTTTGGCCAGGCCGGGGCGGTGGTGACGCACGCCTTTAATCCCAGCAATTGAGAGGCAGAGGCAGGTGGATCTCTGTGAGTTTGAGGCCAGCCTGGTCTACAGAGTGAGATCCAGGACAGACACCAAAACTACATAGAGAAACCCTGTCTCGAAAAAAAAAAAAAAAAAAAAAAAAAAGTTTTAAAGCTCCATGTTAGTAATACTGAATCATAGATATTGTAATTTAAGAATGAATGAGGATCAGAGAGATGGCTCAGTGATTAAGAGCATTTGCTCTTCTTTTTTTTTTTTTAAGGTTTATTTATTCATTATGTATACAATGTTCTGCCTGCATGTGTCCTTGCAGGCCAGAAGAGGGCACCAGATCTAATTGCAAGTGGTTGTGAGCCACCATGTGGTTGCTGGGAATTGGACTCAGGACCTCTGGAAGAAGAGTCAGTGCTCTGAACCACTGAGCCATCTCTCCAGCCCACATTTGCAGAGGACCCAGGTGCAGCTCTCAGCGCCCACACGTGGCCACTCACAAGCATTTGTAACTCCAGTTCCAGAGGCTCTGATGACCTCTTCTGGCCTCTTGGCATCGGACACACGTGTTGTACATACATACATACATGTAAGCAAAACAATCAAACACAAAAGCAATAAAAATTAAAAAAAAAAGAACAAATGAAGATGTACTACCAGGAAATAACTCAAACCCACATATGTTTAAACAGTTTAATAGACTTTCTAATGTTGTAAATACACAATAATTTGAACCAGGAAGATGCAGAGTTTTTGGTTTTGTTTCGGGGACAGGGATTCTAAAGCATGCATAATTGGAAGGAAGGGACTCTATGAAGAAGTGGGAAAAGGGTTCCTTGCTGAGGGCTGGGGCCATTGCTCTTAGTTACTTTCCAGAAGCTGTCAGGAAGACTCTGTTCCTGAAGGCACTGCATACTTGAGCTGTAGACCATGGGAACTCAAGCTGGTATTAATTGGAAGATCCATCCCTACTCGCTGCCTTTCACAGCACTGGAAAACGTTGTCTACAGAACTGGAAGGAGAGAAGGAATTGTCTGTCTTGGCAGTAATGACCGCCTGGCGTGCCCACGTTCCAACAGTGGCAGGAACGTCACAGGAGTGACCAAGCCTTTTCTGATTCAACTGAAGACCCCTGCTCAAGAGGGAACCCAGACTTGGTACCTTCATCAGGGCCAGGAACCTGTGGTCAGACACATTATAGGGCCTAGGGGAGAATCTACTACTGTTACATCTATTTAATACAACACAGTATTAAATAGATGCCTAATGATGTCTCCTTACACCCACAGGTTAGTGTAGCTTTCAAACCCCATTCAAAGAAGCTCCTTTTGCAGTAGATGACAATTAACACAAGGACTCACAACTAATCAACATGCAGAGAATGAGTGACTGTGGAATACTCAGGCCTAAATGGGATATGACACCCCCACCCCAAAACTCAGGGATCATTGCATAAATGGTTTGGAAAGACTGTAAGAGTCAGAGGCAGTGGATGACTACAAAGAAACTGTTCTCCAGATACAACAGGGCAGCTGAGTTACACATAAGAACTCACAGAGACTAATGACAGCATCCACAAAGCAATGCACCACCTCAAGCCAGACAAATCCCAGTATGGAGAAGAAAGGCGGGATATTGTTAAATAGGTATGGGAGGTGGAAAGTTTGTTTTGTTTTTGTTTTTGTTTTTGTTTTTAAGGGTTTGGCCCAATTAGTCTAACATATTCATGGATAGCCACAAACCCAATACTGTTTTTAAGCAAATTGAATTAGATTATAACTTTTGCAGTTAAATTCTCACTCAAGGGTCAGTGATTTGGCTCACTAGTTAAAGACACTTAGTGTATACACAGCCTAAGAATCTGGACTCAGAGGTTAAGAGCACTGGCTGCTCTTTCAGAGGTCCTGAGTTCAATTCCCAGCAACTACATGGTGGCTTACAACCATCTGTAGTGAGATCTGGTACCCTCTTCTGGTGTGCAGACATCATACATGCAGGCAGAACACTGTAT